TTATATAAGTGATTACTCATTATGGGGAAAGAATCTAAATTCATTTATGGGAAAAGACTGGACAGAGAAAATAATTTCAATTATGCCAAAAAGAGAATCAAGAACACCTCAAAACAATTCAGCTTACTTAACTTGCAATGACATCATTTATACAGAGTAAAGTGCTCTGCAGTATCTAGGCTGAAAGAACAGGGCACTTTTTCCATACCCAGCAGAGCAAGTCTTCTTCTTAACACATGAACAACTTTAGGCATTGTTTTGATTATGTGCCTGCCTTTAACCAATAAAACTATCAGTTACTGTATACCAGGCATCCACCCCACTAGAATATGTGGTGGGAGGCAACTACATCTGAGTCTGTGTGAAAATGTATCCGTTCATTTTCAGCCCATGAACATAATGAAGAGATATTTTATCCCATTTGCAGAGACCATTTTTAAGTAACATCAGAACACTGGCAATGTGTGTGTGTGTGTGTGTGTACATGCTGTACACACTTCCGCACGTAATGGCAACTATGAGAGTTTTTCCCTTTCATTAGCTCATGCATTAATAATAACAATTTGACAAAAACATTTTATCAGCTTCCCTTACAAAAACAAACACCTACTGGCACATCAGAACACATCATAAAGAGGGGGGCACAAATTACACTGTACATCAATTTAACAAAGTCATAAAGTATGCTGAAAGGGGGCACTGATTCAAATCCTCTGCTGAGGAACTTGCATCATTTGGCTACTCAACTTTAGACAACTTCAGTAAAAAGCCCGTCTTCAAAAGTAATGGCAGGGAATGCAGTTCAGATAAAACTGTTTACATAAGTGCTTCTGCAGAAAAGCACTGACACACCCAGTCAAAAAATATTGACCACATCTCATCAATTCCTTTGCTATCTACACAAGAGTATACCAAATGCCTATGCATACACACATAGTACAGGACGTTTGCCAGTACCAGGTCTACAGTCAGAGGCAGGCACAAGGCTGTTTCATGTTAAGTGAGAAGACAAGATAACAAAAGCCCAAACAAGTCCATCATCAAATGCCTCACCAGGGTCTGCTGAGGCATTTGCATATGTACCTTCCAAATTCCCACTTATTTTTTTTATGCATCAGACCATTAGTCAGCCTACAGCTAGCCACTGAGGGTGTAAGAGTGCGGGTGTGCGCACATGCCACGGACTCTGCAAAATAAGATGTGGAAAACAGACTGAACCAAACAGCCTTCAGTAATTTGAGTCATTTAGATTAGTTGGCAGCCACAGTGAAGTCATCTTTAGCCATTCCAGGCTTCAGGCAAACACCAATACAGCTGATGATAACGCACTAGCTTCTGGGGTTGTGTACATAGACACACACACCCAGCAATCTCACACTGGACACACTTGATAATGTTGCAGCTAAAAACTTTGCATTATTGAGCAATTAAAAAAAAAAAAATCTCTGTATCGCTGTGTTACCAATAAATTAAGTCACCAAAAAGGGTCAAAAGTCAAACTGGTATATAACTGGCTATACAGAGTGTTATACAGTTATTTTCCCCCTACACTTACTTGCATGAGTTTCCTTGACAGTTCATTGGTGAGAAATTCCTCCTCCTTCTCATAGTTGACCGCCAACGTCTCTTTCTCCTTCTGAAGGGCCTGGATCTTTTTGAACAAAGTGTTGCTGATAAATTCTTCCTCCTGCTCTGCTCTTGCTTGCTGTGGAGCAAAAACAAATGTGAAAACAGCAGCAGAAGTAAACATCAGTGAAATAAACTTAAGTCTGACATATCCAACAGATTTTCACATTAGGATCAGATTTATTGGCCAAGTGTGTTTAAAAAAAAACAAGGAATTTGACTCCAGTACAGAGGCTCTCAGTGTGCTCTTATTTATCCTAGTTAAACTGTAACAACCAACAGAGCACAGAGCTGTATTACAGACACATTCACCAAAAAAACCAAATCTGCTGCACTAAAGACTGGCCGCCAAAGAGGAAGCGCATTTTTCCCTAATGATTCAAGACATATTGCAGTAGTGGGTGACTTGCAGTGAGGAAAGGAGTGAAACGTGGAGACAACTAAGCTAAGCCTCACATTAGAGTGGACAAGGTGCAGTGTGGCTGACTTGCCAAAATATGAGTCTGGCGTTTAGCTAGCTCGCTAAGTTTGGCCTACATACTTCCCGTTTATCCGACAGATCGGTTACACATTTTTCAGGCTGAGGTTGATTAGCGGAGCATGAAGACATATGACGCATCAGTCCATGCCAATGCTGCTGCTGGGCTACTCATTTTCGCACAGCTAACGTATCCCTATACATAATGTGGCGATAATGTCTAGCAATGAGTAATCAGCTGACAACCGTTCGGTACCTAGCATCCTGGGGCTCCCACCCATTTTTACGCCTTTTTACTTGATGTTAGCCGCCGAGCTAATATTAGCAACGCAAAACAAAACAAAGCAAACTAGCGTTAGCTGCCTATCGCTGTCCAAACACATAGCAAACGTTAGCCCGCTGGCTACATTAGCAACATACCACAGTAGCTAATGATAGTAGAGCTAGCAAGATACTAGAGTGTTGTATTCAGAGGAGTTAACTTTTCGATATAACACATTCAGTGCGTTAAAATATAGCGAACAACACCAGCCATAGCTAACTTAATGACAAACTATTTAATAAGTGGCGTGAAGGCAGCATATAGCTAACGTTGGTTCACGTCAGCTAGCTAACATTACTCACAATAGTGACGCTAGCTTTGCGGAGGTCCCGATTCTCCTCCTGAAGGGCTTTGCATTTGAGTTTGAACGTCTCCAGCTCAATTTTAAGAACTTTATTCTCTTGTTGTAAGGAGGCCAGGCGGTTCGTCAGTTCCTCCAAACGAAACTGTGAAATTACTATGCTCGGCTTTCCCGAATTTGAAGCGGAGGATGACATTGGAGTAGCTGAGCTGCTCCCCGCTCCGTCAGTGTCACTCTCGCTTGCGCTGTCCGCCATGGTTGTGCGACAGTGTTGAGTAGAGAAGAAAACGGCAGCTGCAACGTTTGACGAGCGCAGACAGCAGAATGGTACGTGTGAGCTTGCTCACGCGTGTCGGCATAGCGCCACCAACAGGATGTTTCCAGCACCGCACAATGCACCCTTGACATCTCCATCAACTCCATCCAGGGAAACATTGCCAGCTGAGCAAAGTGGGCAACTGATCCGGGACCCCAGAACCTAAAGCACATTTTGATTTGAAATGATGAGAATATAAAGCATGTCTTGTATCAATAATTATCCACTTGTCTTTTACAGTGGCCCTGTGTCAAAATTTACATGCTAGATATTCCCAAGTAGATTTGTGTTTAATCAAAGTATCACAAAGAGGCTATCAATAGGGCCCCAGGGATAGATTACTGAATGGGCCTACTGGGAATAAGCCCAGGTGCCCCTAGACCAGAGAACCATGAACGTACTGTTAACCTGTCCACTGGAAAGTCAAATGACTACAAAATGACTAGAAATCCACATAATGAGAAAAAAATGGATGCACAACCACTCCAAAGAGACATAAAATTACAAAACGGGGCAGAAAAAACATTAAAGCAGCAAAATCATTATAAAAATAAGGAAATCTACAAAAATAAACACAATAACTGCAGAAATGCAAAACAATTAAAAACAATGGCACAAAACTGGTACAAATATGTGCGAAATGATTATAAAGAGATGAAAAATTGGTCAAAATTAACACAAAATGGCTAAAACATGCAAAACAACTACAAAGGGGCACAAAAACACACAATGTGTATACTGTAGTAGAGGTAGGGCCTTTTACACATCTGTTTCCATGCATAATGTAGGCGGCAGAGCATTTACCTGTGTGTAATTGGACAGAACAACTGGCATATTATATTGTAAGTGGTACTATTGTATCATCTTCATAAAATATCCACTTCAAATGGCCTTGGTAAAAGTAGTACATCTTATAAAGACTTATGAGAGGCAGTACGTGGTGGGACTGCTTTGAAGTAATTTGCCCAGTTTATCATTAATTACTTATTCAATAGAAATCATCAGTATTTTCTTGAGGAACTCGTTTCCTTGTCTCACAGAGCAGTCCAAGCATGTAAACAAGCAGCCCTGGAGATTTTTTCTCAAGGACACTTCAGTGGAGAAGAAGCTATAGCCTCTCTCCTGACATCACCTCTCTGCTGCCACTACATCACTCACATAATCAAAAATGTTCAAGGACACAAAGAACAGAAACGATTGTATTGCAAAATCAATGCACTTTTATTTATTTATTTTTAAACTATTTTTTTTAAGATGTCCGAAACATTTGCGGTGGCATCATTGCTGCTATAGTGTCTAAAATACCTTGACTAACCAAAGTGCTAGAATAGTTACATGTCAATGGCTTCACTGTTAGTAAGAACTGTACATCCAAAAATTTGCTCAGGTGAAAACACATATCAAACAAAATTAACAAAATTGTTCATTCAACCATATCAAAGGATCCTCTACCCCCTGATGGACATTATTATAAGGTGATGTGGTACAGCACCCAAACTGACTTCATTCAACCCCCCACCCCACCCCAAAAAGGTTATATAGTTTTCATGTCCACAGTATAGACATCAGCATACTGAGCCCTCAAACCAGTAGAACACCAAACTACATGGGCATCTATTGAAAACCAATGCAAATCCTAAAGTAATGTAAAGTAAAATTTTGCCACTGAGCCAATGAAAACAATTCTGTTGGACACTGCATATACAGGCTCTCAAGTCTAAAAAGATCACACGGTTTCAGAGTTAAACACAATTTATTTAATGCTTAAATAATTGTTTTTGACCATCCAGTGTTTTTGTCATACAATATGCTATTTAGAGCTACAATCAAATAATGTCTTTATGTGTCATTAATGTGAGTAGTATTTAAATTAAAGAAATACTTCACCAAAAAAAAAAAAAAATCCAATATGAAATGCCCTAGTTTTTCTTTAATACCACAGCAGCCATTAGAAAACCAAATTGACAAACTCTTAAAATGATTAGAAACGGTCTAACAGTGTACAGAGACTCCTACACCTTATAGCCAATACACACAATACAGTTATAATGTTACAGTGAGCCAGCCTACTAGCATTTACATTCAGTTTATTTCATTCTTGTAGCAACAGCTGCTCTCCCGTTTTACATAAACAGACAAGACATCACACCCTCAAGAAGCTATAGAACTTTTTTCCATCCTCACCCCAGCATGATAAATGGTTTAATGGTATCCTTTTTCAATTTAAAATATAAAATCAGTGACAAATGTTAGGGCTATATGTGTACACAGATAAAGGGTTTTGTCATTTGAATACAGTGTTTTCAAACTTGTAAAAATTGTACTTAAAATAAAGTGAACAGCATGCATGAAAATATGAGTACTCTGAAAGGCTGCTTTTGCAGGATTAGATTCATTCCCACTTTGGGAACTACTGAATTTTGATTTTCTTGAAATTTCTTCTGTTAAAATCAAACCAGCTTTTCTCATATACAAATATTATACCTGCTCTAATAATTAGATATACAAGAACCTGTGATGTTACACTGAAATCTTTAAAAGTGGAAGTTTCCATAAATTTTCAAAGCACTTGAAAAGGTTACACTCCTCAGTGCAGTCTCCACTAGTAAATTACCCCACCCCCTCCTTTTTTTAAAAGATTTTTTTACATTGTAATTTTATATACAGAAAAGCTTTTGTTAGTTTAAATTTTAAAAAGCAAGAAAAAAATCCCAAACAATTTACATCCTTACAACAATGGGTTCAAGAAAAAATTATAAGGCGAGTGTTAAAGTTGGATCAGAAGTGTTCCATTAGATTTTATTGTGTTACTGTGACTATTTCATTTCCACCTACCAAGTGGATTGAGCTCTTGTGCCATCTTTGGTCACAGTTGCACCTGTGTGGCTGCCAGTAATGAAGTCTTTTTCGTTTTCACAACAAACGATGCTCCCCAAAAAGCTCTCACGCCGCCAGTGGATCGATGGCACATATTGTCTCGTACAAAACAGGAAGCACAATCATTGTTCATGGATCCACCACAGTGAGAACCTCTCCTGGCTCTTTTGACTGACAGGGAGTGAGTTTCATGCTCATGCTTAAGTCAGAGGTATCGACTTCTCTCATGTGAATGAAAACCATTAGATTCAAGCAGATTGTTGCAGACTGGACCCTATGTCATCTCACTGGAACGCTTCAGCCCTGTGAAAACGTATTCCCAGGAAACATCTAACACAGTTTCCTTGCATCTGTAGGACACAAAATAGTACATCACATATTTTAACACATTACATTTAATCTAACTGTTAACAACTTTATAGATTGCAATTGCTAGGCTTTTTTTGATACGATAATCTATAAATGTACATTATTTCTATGACTGCCGGCAATAGCTGCAACCAGAGGCATTAAGTTTTTGGGCTGTCCGTCCATCCGTATCTTGTGAATGCAAAATCTCATGAAAACCTTGAGGGAATCTCTTCAAATTTGGCACAAATGTCCACTTGGACTCAAAGATGAACTGAGTAGATTTTGGTGATCAGTGACAATACAACTGCGAAGCAGTAATTTTAATTTAAAGTAAATTTATAGATTAAATTCAATTCAAAGTAACTGTTCACCCATGAAGGATGATTATCTACATGTGAAAACCTTTTAAAAGGCACAAAAACTGTCACGAACTTTCTTTCTTTTGTATCACAAAATGACAACATGTTAACAAGACCTGATGGTCTGTGGGATGTCAGGGTGACCTCTGTTTCCATAGAAACCTTTTGCCAGACTTTGCAGCAGTGCCATATTATTTCTAAGCCAGTTTTGTACAGATGAAATGATTCATTACACACATAAGTGTTAACAGCAGCAGGACTTAACACTTTGGACTGTGGGATAAACTCTTTTTGGATGCTACAGTGTTGTTCTGAGTTGGGGATTTAGTGGACAAAAACGAGCAATATAATGGGGCAATATAATGCTGAGGTGTGTACCATCCATCAGCTCTGTTCCCTTTGTAAATGTTGCTTATTCACAAAGACTCACAAATGCTGCCAGCCTCTAACATCAGTCAGCCTTTTGCACTGGGTTTGTGCGACTGTGAGACAAAGCAACTATCTTGTGAGGGTTACAGTAAGTGAAAGGAACAGCTTAATTAAAACCGAATGTGCTGGCGCAGATGTATTCAGTTTTAAATGGTTAATATGCTCATTTGTTTAATTGGAAATTAGGAATTGTGAAGCAGCAGTGAAATATAACATGGATGTAGGACAACAAGGTGCAGATATATTGTGCACACTGATACATACACATAGACAACAAAGACAAGGGGACTATGCTACTTGTGACACAGTGAGAGACAGTGAGCTACTCTACCTGGTAAAGTACAGCCATCCCTATTAGTGGTGCTTTTTATCCCCTGATCTCCTCTCATCCTTTCGCCTGCTATTCCTTGACCGGCCTCCTTGCTAGAAAACGCAAACACACAGAGAAATATTGTTGAGTCATGGTATTCTTTTCTTCTTAAAGAAGGAAAATAAGATGAAACCCAACACATGATCTTGAAACAGAAAAATTGGACAAAGGAGAAAGCTGAAAGCAAGAAGTCTGGCAACACTTGCAGTGCTCCAAGCAACTTTAATTCATAGATAAAAGACCAATGCATTTCGGCATAAAGCCTTCGTCAGGGTCTATTGCACAAAGGAGAAAGTCAACAGCAACCTGAAACCAGGAAATGTTAGTAGTAACTTTATTGTTAGGAAGATAATTAGGACCCATACAACACACCAACCAGACATCTGGAAGAAGAAAAGTGATATTATTACAAAAGTATTAGAAACAAAAGAGGCAGACTGTAGTTTCACAGCACAGTCACAGCACTCATTATTCACACCGCTGACTAATCATTTAAACACTTTAAAAGACCATTAAAACCACAGTCAGGAGAAGCACAGTCAGCATCACCTTTGTAATGGAAACACAATAGACACTGCAGTCAAACAAAACATGCAAGGATGCATTGCAAATGGCAGCATGTGTTGTGTGAAAAGAGCAGTGACATGCAACTCTTTTGAGGTTTTCAATACCGAGAAATAATATGAGGCATCTACTGTATATATGATGCTGTTATGATTTTAGAGACAGTATGTCAATTCTTTCTTAACCTCAAACCCAATTTCCCCATCAACATTCCCCTTAAACAAGCATTGAGTTTGGGATTGTAGGCACATGCATGTAGTGTACTTTTTCTCTGCTTGTTCCAATACTTCAGTGAAGGCCTATGCTGCACATATTAAATGAAATATTTAAAACCAGGACAATGTGTTCTGATGGCTACAACATAACATACATTTTAAATATTCCATAGATATTCTGTGTAGAAATTTACATATATTTGTGGAATTTATCATATGATGGCACTCAATGGGAAGAAATCACTTGATTCTGCAAGAAGACAATGTTTTCAACCATCCAGCCTTAATCACCCATTTTATTTCATCCATGATTACTTAACCAACTGCAGGCTAATTAATTCAAGAGGGTTCATCTGTGTGTAGTGTTTAGAGAACCAGTAGTGCTGTGAGACTGTGACAATTTTGGCCGGATGGCTAAAAATGTTCTGTCTTCTTGCAGAATAAATTGATTTCTTTCCATTCAATGTAATCCTAATTTACAATTACTGCATAATACTACTGGGATTATGCACCAATTTTTTCCTGAGGACATTGGAATTTATCATCATGCTTCCAACTGATAACTTTTATAATACAATTCTGTGGACCAGTGGGCCTCACAGGATTGAAGGGAGTAGTCATGAATGCACAAGTCACATTTAGAAAAGAAACAGTGTTTGCTTTGTTGCAACCCCAGATTCTCATTAGGCTGATAGACCAGGTGTTTTAACTAGTGCAGCTTTAAGCCTAACTTTTGAATAAGCTGTTACCCTCCCACCACTTGTGTTCTTTTAATTACTGCCTGTCCCAGGTATCCCATCTAGATTAGATTTTGAACCCAGGAACATGGTTCATGCCAACCTCTGACCCATTCTCTTGAAGAATGGGACTGTGCTGAAGGTCTTGGTTCCACCCGTTACCTCCTTGGTTTTCTGTTGTAGGAGTAGTAACTCTTCGAATAACCTTCCTGATTACCTGCCCAAAGCAGAAGGATGTTGACAAAGGAAGAAAAGAACTGATGGTGTCTGCTTTTATAAAAATATGAAAACATTCTCCCCGTGATATTGTAGGTTTTATTCTAGAGCTGAAAAGAAAAGAACAATGAAGTTATACATTACTTTTCTACTGATGAGGTTACCATCTTTGTCCAGATAGTGTTCCTCTGTCACAGACTCGCCTGGTATATTTTTTGCTTCTTCTCCCTGCGAGCATTTATGGTTAGAAAGTGACTAAAGGCTCACAAAAAGATGGATTCAAATATAATAAAACAACCCTTCACCATCACCACACTAAAACAACACCTCAAGAAAAAAGAACATTAATGTCAGAGCGAGGTTGAACACCATGTTAGTCATCAGTGTTGAAATGTGTCAGACTCAGTAGTGCTTGCATACAAACATATCTATGTACACAGCTATCCATGCTTAAAAAGAGTGTAGAACTATCAGTACACCAAGAAAGACTACTTAGATGCCCACCAGACTGACCAGTCTAATGGAAACCAAACCAAACCAAACCAAGGCTCAGCCCAGTTCCTCCTCCATGGTACCTTTAAAATGAGACGGCGTCTGAAGATTCTGGTGGTTACAGTCTGTTCTTCCTCTGAACCGGAATCTACACTAACACACTGCTGGGGAATGTATTAGGATCATTACACAAACACAAGGAAGATATCAGGAGGAGAAAGAACTCGAGGGGGGGGAGATTAATTAGCTGTATTTTAACTCCTTGGTTGACTGGACCAAAAAAAAAAAAACGCAAACAAAATGTTGAAGTTTGTTTCTTTAGCACAACTTATACTGTACATATAGACATTTTCCCTGCAATAACATACCAACAATGAAATGCGGCTCTTTAGTAGCTACAAAAAATAGAGGACTATACAGTATTCTATGCTGTAACAATAACTGTTCATGGCCTTTTTATTTGATTGTAACCATTATTATTATTACTTGTAACATTACCTGGACTTTTTTCTCTGACACCAGTGCTCCCTCTTCCTTTCTGCCATTTGATGGCTCAGATGAGCCGTCCTGAGGTGATTGTTTTAAGTTGTCACCGTTGTGTCGGGACCTCCCTGATTCGCCCCTCGATGAGGAAGTGACTGAGTCACTAGAGTTCTCCTGGCTGTTGGGTTAAAAAAAAAAAATTGGCTTGTATTTGCAGGATAACGTAAAGATCTGAAAACTGATCATCTGAGAAGATATTTGATGAAGTAGAAGAGCAGTAGATTTCAAAGTCAAGTTGGAAAAAATGTTGTCATTGTAGGGAACTTTTAAGGCATTCTGTTTGAAGCTATTAGTGTATAATACTTTCACCTTTCCTGACGGTTGAGCAGGTCTGAGCTGACACTGCGACCTGGCGGTGGCGGCTCCACATTGATGCTGGATGGATCTAAGTGCCAACCTGAAAGTGAACACACGTCTTTTTCGGCCTGTTCAACCTGATCAAGAATCTCCTGAACCCTGACCTTCATCATCTCTTCATCCTCCTCCTTTTCCTTTGAGCCTTCTTTGTTCTTCACCTCCTCCAAAAGAGATCCTAATGCCTCTTCCGCGATTTCTTTGTCTCTGTCTTCCTCCTCCTCTTCCTGATTGGATTGAGACACACTAGGCTGCAGTTCCCCAAGTGCTTCAACCCAGGCTTGAGGGGAGAGACGAGCTACACATTGGTTCTTAGCTGGCTGGTCCCCTTCTGATGTCCCACAGATATCTATTTCACTGCCAGACAATGCTCCTTCATCCTTAAACTGCAGTGCTCCACCTGTGCCATCCATTCTGAAAGTGTCATAGACCCATTCCTTACTGCCAACATCAACTTTTTGTATCTCTGGTGTTTTATCATTACCCTCATTGACAGTCACTGCTTCTATTATGTTACAAACTTTTTCCATTTCTTGTCCAGTTTCTATAAAACTATACTGCTCTTCTTCTGTCTGTACATCTCCTACATCCTGCACTTCACAAGCTGCCCCATTATTCCTATCCTGAATATAAACATGCTGCTCATTTATCACACCTGTCTTTTCCTCTGCAGACCCCTCCTTCTCTTCCACCAAAATGTTATTTTCCTCTGCCAACTTAGACCTATCTTTTGTTATCACCTCACATTTTCTTTCCACATTTTTAATCAAGTCCTGCTTTACCAACTTTTCCACTATTCCATTTGGCTCTGCTACCTCAGTTGCAACCATCTTAACAGCCTTCTTTGTTTCTTCTGTTACTTCCTTTTTACCTCCTTTCAAACCTACATCCTCCTGTACTCCATTGCCAGTCAGTGCAACCTCATCTCCCATTTGTGCTCTGTCAGGCGATGAAGGGGTTATTGATGATACTGATGATAATGAAGGGGAAGATGTGGAGTAAGCCATGTCAGTCTCTAATTCGCACAGTGTGGGAAAGGAGTGTGACTTGGGCTTGTGGCTCATCTTCATTTCATAACAAGAGCTGTCCTCCTCCTCACTCAAAAGCAGCTGGTCATTCAGAGCGATGTGGGGCTTTCTCACCTTGGAAGGAACAGAACCAGGGAGTTCGAAGGCTGGGAGTGTGAGCTCACAGGGTCTGGGGGGGCTGCTAGGGGGGTTATCTGGCTCTCCACTGCCAGGCTCTAACTCTGGGCTCCAGGGCAGGGGTTGAGGCTGTGTGTTGACCAGAAAAGGGGTGTCTGGTTCTGGGTAATGGTGGTGTTGTTGGTGGGCAAGGGAAGGGTTCGGGGTGACAGGGAGTTCAGGCTCCAAGAAGTGGGGGTCAGAGTGCAGTGTTGCGGGGGACTGCAGCTCCGCTAGAATACTCTGATAATCTGCAGGTGACAAGATGAAAATGTAGAGACATAGACACCAAAACATGCCACAAAAGAATATAGCACTTCGAAAAAACACACATACACAACACGACGTGGACAGTGGCACAGAGGCTGGAGTGTAAAGCATGTATCCCAACAACCACTAGCTGAAATGGTGATATGTCAGAAGTTACTGTATAATGGCAGTATGTCAAACCAACCTCAAACATATGCATGAAAATGCTATAGAATGCATACAATATATTTTACCATATATGTTTGAAAATGTCCTATTCAACAAAAATAAGAATAAATAAGATAAATAATGAAGTATATTCAACTGGTATGCATTAGATTATCACTAATCATAAATGCATTGTTTTAGTAGCTGTTTTGATTTTCAGTGACTGTTCATTCGCTGTGCTGAGTTACAACACTGAAAGTGAAATGCATTAGTGACGTAAGAGTGGGATGTGATCAGCATCAGATATTAATAATTGCCAGGCTGTTCTGTTACATGTTCACATGAGATAGTTGACAGATGACAGAGGAGAAGGAGCAAGATAAAAGATAAAGCATACTAAATAAATATTTCCATTGTGGAAGGGTCAACACGGGTTTAAGTAGGAGGTGGAAGGGTGGAGGGCACACCAGTACACTGGCAAGCAGGACAGGGAAACAGGGAGTGGGGACAAGGAGAGGAGGAACGGGGGCTAGGACAATGGGACCCAAATGGAGAGATGAGAGGAAGAGTAGACATGGAAAGAGGAGAGACAGGGTGGGAGGAGGTGACAAGCTGGGCCAGTAAAGACTCTTTGCTTGGAGAGGCAGTTCCAGAAGGTGAGACCCTGCCTGAGAGTGAGGAGGGGGTGGGTGAAGCAGCTATGGTGATGGGTTCAGATGGATTAGGGGCAACAGAGGAGGAGGCCAGGGTGAGGTCAGTGGGTGAAGTTGCAGGTTCGAAGGGTTTCAGTATGACAGGGGAGGTCAGAGGTAGATCCAGATATTGTGAGAGAGGAGGACATTGGTTCTGAAGGTTGTGAAGAGTTTGGAGTGGGCATGGTGAATGTGGGGGAGGCTGGGACAGAGGAGGGAGAAGACAGAACAGATGTAGGTGAAGAAAGAATGAGTGATGAAAAGCTTGCAGCAGGGGAGGTGATCAGGGGGATTTGGGAGGACTGGTGGGGTAAAAAAGGGAATGTAGTGGATTGAAGAGGGTTTTCGGGGGGCATTGAGGGATTTGGATTGGAGAAGAAAGGGAAAGGAAGCTGAACTCTGGTGGTTCAAATGGTGCTGGAGGTGCCAAGTCTTTGAGTAAAATGGAGGACCTGTAACTAGGAGAATGATATAAAGAAAAGGGATGGTAGTGAAGTGCTGTAGTAGGTGTGAGGGGAGTGGGTGGGGGTGTCAGTGTTGGAAAATAGGGGCTAGGTGTCTGGAGGAGGAAGGCAGCTTCAGTGCTTCTGGGAGTTAAGGGGATAATCACACAAACTATGGAATAAGGCATAAGGCAAGGTATATGCAGAAGAGATAAAAGAAACAAATTAATTTTGTAGAAAGAGGGACAAAAATACATGAAAGATTGCTTCATGTGAAACAGGCATGCACAATAAAACAATGAATGAATAAGGGATGTGTGGAGAGGGAGGTATGTGAGGAATGGATAAGGAAAGGGCACACGTAAATATCAGCAACACATGACCCTTAACTTGTTAAGAGTGGCTATGTGCTGTTATCAGCAGTGCATACTGCTGTGGGGAGGTAATGGGAGGCAGAAAGAACAGGAGGAGGTTGCAGTCTGGTTTCACAGAGGAAGAGACTCTCTCATCTATCCATGGAAGGCTCAGAGGAACTGGAGGAGGATTAGGAGAATTAAACTAAATCCACAGAAGAAAGCAGACTCTAGAGGGTTATATCATTTCTAAGTCAGATGTAACTGGACAAAACATTTAAAGCAGTATGCAGTCTGCAACATGCACTTGAAACGGGATTTCAACAGTGGGTATTGTTAATTCATGACAACTGGATACACTATTATGATTTGTAGATGTGTATTCACCCTTAGCAAGACTTGATTTAAATTAAAACAATAGTTAATTCAACAGAAGCCAATATTAACCTCTGCAAGTGGTAAAGTACTTAAAAACATGGTCAGATTGAAGCTTGAAGTAGAATACCATAATTATATCAACAGCAAATAAACTGTAAAACACAGAAATCATTAATGCATGTGGGCAATAGTAGGAACCAGTTGTTCAAACAAAATGCAAATCTGACTGTAAATCAGCTTCTCTAGTGTATCGCACTAAGATTATATTATGTGCTCCATGCATTGGCACAACAAAAAAGGTAGCAGGGAGAGGTAAGAGGTCAGCTAGACAGAGCTAAACTTTACCATCAGCCTGATCCTGGAAAACAGCGTTATCATCGGCAAAACATCTCGTGCCTGAAATGTTACCATAGTCAAATATTGGGCCCTCCAGTAAAGTCACAATATCCATCCGATTGACTTTGGTCAGCACTGCAGTTAAGGCATCCGCTGTGGAAAGGAAGGCAACAAAAAAATTGAATGAGTCACCTTAAAAATGATGAAACAAGGATGGCAAACTTGAGCAAAACTGTGTTTCCCTGAGTTTTACTGATGAGAACAAAATGTATGGGGAAAAAATTGCATGAGAATTTGTAAAATAATATTATTTGATGCAGGTAAAATTGGGCGTTTTCCTTTAGTTCTTGAAAAGGACAATAAACACAAGTCTCTTCCTAAACTTAAAATTCCTGTCCAGATGACTTCTGATGTTAGAAATTAAAATGATGAAAAAACCGACATTGAAGAGGATAGAGAGGAAGACAGACAGTAGTAGACAGTACTCTGACTAACATAGACCACACAGGGAAATAAATGTCTTATTTTTGCCTATTAAAACTGAAAAGAGCAAGATAGAAATATACAGAGGGGGAAGTAGAGATAAAAATAAACCAAAGAAACACATTTTTAGATATAAAAATAGTCTTACTTGTGGCGTTCTTCCCTTCCCGACTGACCCATTTCTTAAGTAGCATGAAGCTCTGTGCTGTCAGAGAGTTAGGGTTCTCTAGTCTGATATGGTTGATCTCATCCACTGTGAAGTTCATCTCACGTGCTAACTCTGTAATGGCACAAATAGCAATTTAGACAAATATTTAAACTTCAGTTAGCACAGCAGCGCAGTGGTTAGCGCTGTCACCTCATAGCGAGAATGTTCCAGGTTCTTTAATTTACAATATTTAAGTGCCTGTCATTTGATTTATAACACTAATAAACAATTACCGAGGTTAAAATACAATGTATTTATGTTTTCAAAATGATTAAAATCTGGCAATAAAACAATCTATACCTTCAGTTGCCTCATCACTACATACAGTTTAAATGTAATTGCTTTTATGCATCAGGAAGATGCTTTTATTCATTTTTTGGTCTGTATTATATTCAGTTTGCCTGAAGATGGCAGTAAATAACGGAGCTTAGGGCTGAAAGAAAAAGTGAGGTATAAAGGGACTAAGAGGAAGAGCAATGCAGAAATCGTCTCACCTGTCCAACTGAGTCCCAGGTGATCTGCAACAATAGCCATGCGCAAGTCTGTTCGCTCGCAAGGACTTTGGGGACCTGGTAAGATAGAGGAGAATAACTCATCACTACCATTCATATTCTTCGCCTCCTATACGAAATAAACATGTACGTAATTTCCCTTTTCTGGCCATTTGTTCATCCGGATTAATAATATTGATCAAAGATGTGTTAAATATATTTATATTATAGTGGTTACCATATTGTCATAATGTAGCTACAATACTGGCTCAATTATATCCTAAGGATGGCAAGAAAAGGATATTGCACACTAGAGACATTATGAGCAACTTAAATATGTTCATAGAGTTTGTGGTGCACTGTGACAGTTTGTGGTATGTATCCTCTAGGCAGGCAGTAACTGTCATGATAACCACACAAAACAAAGCATAACATGACTCTCAACAACAGACTCAGTTCTACAAATCTATGGTGGAAATGTCTGTTAGATCCTAAAATGTCAACATGCGGAGATGCTTTTGTGTTTTCTTTGCCAACACTAGTTAGTTTAAATGACAATTGATAGCATGAAAAATTGTGTAAGATCAAATGACTACAATAAGTCAGTAGCCACCCTGCACAGACAGACAGAGAGGCCAGGTCAGGGAGTTGTCAAACGAGGGACTGGATGTGCCAGTAGACCAGTCACCACTACTGCCATGCTTATGCTACCATTTAGGCGGTAAAAAGGGTTGAAAGAGGGGAACAGAGGAAAAAGAATCTTGCAACAAGGACAAGACAATACACAGTACATCAATGGCAAAAACAGAAATTTAAATGACAGCTACTGTTCTGAAGAGAACATGTAAACACACCACAGGCATTCCAGTCAATCCATTAAATGATCACAACGATGTCATGCAACTAAAAGTGAAATATATATATAGATAAAGATATAGATGTATTTTAAACATAGTGTGAAAGTTTTACAAACTAGGCTTGATCTCCGCGATGGGAGGCGTTCGAGACCCTGTGAGTCCCTGACTGCCCTCCTTCCCACCAGTCCGCCTACTCCTCCTGCTCCTCTCACTGCCGGAGGCCCTGTCCGTCGTCGCCACCTTTGCCCTTACGGACGCGGCCCCGGCCTCAGCCCTCGAACCTCTACCAGACCTGGATGAGCGGGAGGGCTGGGAGGGCTGGGAAGGCTGGGAGGCGTCCGACAGAGAGGTGCTCCGGGAGGTGCTGTCTTCCTCCGACTGCACTGTCTGCGTCTTTTTCTCCTCGTCTGACAGTCGGTCCACCAACTTTAGCGTCTCCCCGCTAATGTCTTTAAAATATTTGATGGTGCGCTTACAAACCTCACTAGGGGTTTCCTGTCTGTCCTGTCTACATACTCCCTCACTGGTGACATTGCTGACCTGATGCCTGTCCTTCATTGGTAGCCTTGAGGGCAACTGTATGACTGCTCTTCCTGTGTCCAGTGCCCTTGTAGGCTGTGAGGTAACCTGAACTGAAACAAGTGAGCTAGCTGTGACAGCAGGGCTGCTCTTTTTAACATCCTTGATTGGTATTCTAGACCTAGGCTCTACTTTGGCTATGGCTGGCTCTCCTCTTTTCTTGACCTCAACTGTCACTGCTTGTCTGGGCTTCTGTTTGCCTATGGCTGTTCCCTGTGTGTGAAATGACCACCCTGATGCCTTAACTGGAAGCCTGGACTTGGGCTGCTTCACTTCACTTTCTTTAACTGTTTCGCTGTTCTGTTCCTGCACTTCACTGCTGCTGTGTACATGCACTCTGTCTTCTAAATCCCTACAGCACAGTGTTTCTATCCTGCTAGCTTTCTGAAGAGTGGGTTCAGAGGAGGACTGCAGATTAAACACCACACTACCACACTGAATGTAGTTGGCCTGAACACTGGAGGACTCGAGGTTATTGTTGTTGTTGCAGTTTTCCGAAGGGTAATCTCTTCTCTCGAACTTGGGTTCAGTGTGTCTGCTAGACTGACTCTCTGTACACTGATCTGCTACACTTATATATTCTGGCACCATCTGACCCTCTGATATCTCAGCTTTACAATCGGTGAGATCCCCTGAGTCTTTTCTCACAGTAATCGAAGCAGCTATGCCCATCTTAATAGGAGTGCGTAATTTGGAGTCAACCTTAGAGGCTGTGATTGTGCATGAGGAGGCAGTCTCAGCTATGGCTTCACAGATGAGGGCACCAGTACCAGTATAGCCAGTGTCACTGCCAGGCTGTGCAGGACTGCATTTTGTTGTTGTTGCTGCTGGTGGTGATGTTGGTGTAGTGCTGCTGTCTGTGGTGGTATCTATAACTTTCACTTTCCCATCTATTGTGGCCCTTTCCCCTGTTTTTGACTGAGAGGAAATTACCCCCAGGATCTTGCCCCCTCTCCCCTTTTCCCCTGTTTTAGGGTCAGAGGAATGCTCACCAATCTGGAAAAACTGAAGCCTCTCTTCAACAAAGTCCCGCTTGCTCATGTCAATAGCACCACTGCGGGTCATCTCAAACATCTTCCCTTCGTGGAATGGGAAGGGATTAGGCTCACTAGTCGGTGTGCTCTCATCAGTCGGAGTTCGAGCAGGGGTTGTGTCAGGTGTTGTAGCCTGTGATTTGTCTTCCACTGATAAACCAAAGGGCTTGGTGTCTTCCTCTTTTGTTTTGGACTCAAAAACTCCCTCATTATCACCCCCTTTAGTGGACCAGGGGTCAAAGTCCAGGCCTTTGGTAGCAACAGTTTTAAAGGTTGAATTAAGCTCCTCTTCAAGTTGGTAGCCAAAGTAGGTTTCTCCAAACACCTGCCTATCTGGATGTCTTCCTTCGAGGGTATAATCTTTTTTATCTCCACTGTTTTTCACTGAAGATGTGTTGGTTTTAGTCTTTCCATTATCCCCCCCTTCCTCACATTTCTCTTCCTCTATCACTTCAAGCTTGGACTGACAAAATGAAAGGTCAGTTGATTTTCCATCATTAGACAGACTTGAAGTTTTAGGGTCCTCACTGAGGCCATCATCCTCATCCTGAAGGTCATACCCATCTAAAGAGTCTATTTCAGTTGCATCTGTGTCATGGGAGAACTCAGCAGTGGTTGCTATGGAGCAGTCAGTGATTGACTGGTCATTGCCATTTTGTTCAAAGTCAGTATCCTCCCCCTTTACTACACCATCGATCCCAGACTCCTTATTATTTCCATTTTTCTCAGGTCTTTTGGGTTTTGGCTGTTTCTCTCCCTCCTCTTTCATTTTGAAAGTGTACTTTTTGGCAGGGATGGGATGGAAGACAGACTCATCATCACTAGAGTCGCTGTTTTCAGCACCTGGGGGAATAGGAGATGGAGGCTGGACCCTGATGACCGGCTCAGCCAAGAGGTGCCTATCATGCTCCTCTTGGAGATTCACTTCCATCATCACTGTGTCTGCCTCAGAACAAGCACATGACCCCCTTTTCTCAGGATCAGACTGCTCTGCCTCTAAAGGAGGAGGAGGTGGAAACTCTATGTAAGCCACTCTCTTCTCCTTTGACTTCTGTTTCTGTGTATCCTGTTTTTTACTCTGATTCTCTGAGGAAGCTGACTTCAGTTTTTCATTTGATGGCTCCTTGTAGACAGAGGTCTTTCCTTCTTCCTCTTCAGACTCCTCTGGGATAGGGCTTGGCATGCCAGACATGAAGCCTATCACAGAGTCTGGTGTTCTTGAAGTCAGACTCATGTCCTCTGAGTTGGGGGTCTCAGGGGTAACAGGACTTTTCCCAGAACTGTCCATGAAAGTCACTTGTTCTAAAGTGTCATCTTCTGGACTTCCTTGAGGAGATGGCAACTGCTTTTGTTTGACAGTGTAAAATGCACCCCTTGTCTCATGCACTGTCCTGCTCTCATGGCTTACTACTTTTTTGTATGTTCCCAGCTGCCCCGAGGCTGTTTCTTTCTCATACTGTTTTCCAACTTGGATACTAACATAGACAGGTAAGGGTTTAATATCTTTGAAACCCTCTGTGACAACTACAGGAGTTACTTGATCCAAATACTCTACTCTGTCACTGTCAACACCATTACACACTACATTTGACTGGCTACCGCCTGATGAGTCTGTGGATTTTTCTATTGATGATCCACAAGTAGACTTATTGGATTCAGAGCTACTGTGTAACCGATTTCTAGCTAAAGTAGGTATATGAGAACCTGCCCTCTCATACGGTTCAACAGAGGCATCGAAGTTTATAGAGGTGGATTTGTGATTTTCTGTGAAATTAAATGGCTTTCTTACAGGAATTTGTGATTCCGAGTTTTTTTTTAGACTATCATTACCATTTGGATTTTCTCTGACAACAAATTCGGTGTAGATTATTTTCTTGGTTGTTTCTTGTCTTTGGGAATCGCTATTGTTGCCATCTTTCTTAGAATCATGGACTAAAGAATGGGATAGTTTTGGAGATTTGGGTTTATAGCTTTCATATCCTTGGCTCTCCCATGTTTTGAAAATCTTTTTTTCCTCCTGATCTTTCCCACTGGTCTCATGTTTGGGTGAAAGCTTATTTGATTCATTATCTAGACATCTCCTTTGGTGTCCTGGACTGTCTGGTGTTTTTGGAATATTTGAACCACCGAACATCTGATACACAGGTAGCTTAGTTTCCTGCAGTTTCCTGATAGGAGGATTTGAATTTTGGCCACTTTGAGGACTCCTGTCTTGCCTTTGAGCCTCTTGCTCAAACTTTTGCCTCACTGCACTAACTTTTGAGGAGGATATTTGGAAAGCTTTAGGACTTTCACCTGTGCTTCCCTGTGATTTGCCATTTTCTTTTTTTCTTTGGTCAGAATCACTGCACTGCAACAATACTCTCCTCTCTGGACTGCTGGGTAAGCTGGCACATTTCCTATCACTGGAGTTAAACCTGTCTCTAAGCCTTTCTTTACTCCATTCTTCCCCACTACCCTCATATCTATAAGCTGACCTCTCTGGACTGCTATGCGTAGAACTTGGCCCTGATCGTGATTCTCTGAAGTCTGGTCTGCGAGACTTCTTCTCTGGAGACGAAAGCTCATTGTTGAGTTTTTCTGTTTTATCACGAAAGAACTGAGATACCTCACTGAGTTTTTCCTCTGCCTCCTTTACAGTCCTGTCCACTCTGTCCTCATACACAAGCTGTTCTCTGTCCTTTCTCTGTGTGTCATCTGGCACACGCATCCAAACAGACTGCTTTGGGCTACCAGGCTCAGAAGAATACTGCAAAAGTGTCAATTTGTCAAAATTATCATCAACATTGGCCATTCTTCCAGATTTGTCAAACACATTTCGTGATGCCCTAAAGGCATACTCTGTCCTTGGCCCAACTGATCTACCCTCACTGTGACTGCTTCTGTCTGGTGAATGGAAACGAGACTTATCTCTCAGGTATTCCTCTGTGTCTGAATGAGAATGGTCAAACTTTTCAGAGAGTAGCATTTTCTCAGCAAAATTATAGGATTCTCCCCTAAGTTCTGATGATTCATCCTCATTGTACTCTACAGATTGCTGGCTAAGTAGCTTAAGTGTTTTATAAGAGTCATCTGCCATTAGTTGGGCTGAACTAGGGCGACTGTCTTCCTCTTGTGAAATGGGTGTGTTCACCCTGGGGGAGTCAAGGTACACTGGAAGTGATCCCTCAGGCTCCTCCTCTTCCTGTCTATTGCCTGGGTAGTAATACATTTCCTTCTCTGCATGGTTTTTTGTCTCTCTGATGATGACCTCTGTTGGTTCCGTTTTGTTTCCCTTTTCAATGTGAACCTCAATTATTCTTTCAATCTTAGGTTTGGAGTTGATGTCCTCAAGGACTCTTTGTGATGTTTCCTCATCCCCAGTCTTATGTTCAAAAAGTCCTGCTAGCTCTCTAGAAGGGTCTTTGCCTAACTGAAAAGCCTTCATTATGTCATGCACAGACATAGTTTCTTCACACCTATCTGATGCTGGTTCTTTGCCAGATGATTTGTGGTACACCATCCTGGTAGTAGTAGTGATGTGAGTCTCCTCCTTTACCCTCATCCCTTTCCCAATTGGATCCTCATCAGGGCTAACTGTTATCGAGTAGCATTTATTCTGTTCTGGAGTTGATGTAGACTGATTCATATGCCCTTTAGATACAGAATCGATGTATCTGGGAGGGTGTATATCCTCCATTGCATGTTGCTTGTTATCCTCTGAGGGGTCATAGCTTGTGATGACATGGACAACCTCAGTCCTAGTCTCAGTGATCACTGGGGGAACTGGAATATCCTGAAAAAGGGCCTTGGGGCCTGTGCCTTCTGCACTCTGAGGGGCAGAAGGTGTCCTTTCACTCCTGGTCTCAAAGCCACTGTCTGAGAGGGGGCTTTTATCCTGTTCATGGGAAATATCATCAGGGGATTCTAGGACAGTGTCGGCTCCAAAAAGCGCATCTGCTATTTTGCTGATTTCTTTGTCTGAACTTGAAGTGCGCATGCTTGTTGGAGGCATTTTGAGCTTATGTTCCTGAACTGCAATTGTGGGCTTTAGGACACGTTTCTGCTTCTCCTTGCCCTCTCCTTCTCTCTTGAGCTCATCTGTTTTATGCTTTGTTTCGTGCATTTTGGAGAAAGAGCTGCTTCCAACATCACTGGACAGGTAGTCAACCACTTTTGAGAGATTGAAGTCTCTGTCTGGTATTGCTTTTGATTTGGCTTGAGGAACCACAGTCTCATATCTAGGTGGATAGCTCCAGTTGCTTGGCGGTTGTTCAACTTGTACTTTAGAGAAATGTATGTCATCCAAAGAACTCCTTGCCAGGGAAACTCTACCATCCTTCACAGCATCTTTAGTAAGGATTTCGCTCACTTTAACCAAATCTTGCTTTACTTTCTCTACAATCCTATATGGCTCTTCATCCTCTATCTTAGCCTCTTTGGGGGAATCAGATGGAAATCCTTTATTGCCTGTGGAATTTGGGTCTGTCTGCAAAATGGCTGACATTCGTATCAAGTCCTCTTTCATTTCAGCTACATCCTTCAGAATCTCTTGGCTGGATGACAGTGGTGATGTGGTGTTTGATTTCACACCCGCAACTGAGCATTCACCTCTGCAGGCCCTGTCTTCCGTGGTGACAGAAGGGCAGCAGCTGATTTAGACACCTCAGGTAGCTTTTTAAACTGGGGCTCTGGTAGCACATTAATAACAGAGTACACTGGAACAGTCACTGTACTGCACGTTACAGCAGTGGTGACATTGGGAGGAGATCTTAGAGAGGCATAAAGGGAACTTGAAGCTGATGATCTAATGGACTGATATGAGGAGGATGCAGAAGAGGACAAGGACTTCAAGGTGCCATAGCCTGCAGAACATGAATTAAATGTTTTTTCCACCTCATCAAAGGCTGCATTGACACTTGTAGTCGCAGCATTGGTGGTTGCTTGAATTCTCTCTTGCAGACTGCTTGTAAGAAGAGATGTTGGGGGTGATGAGCAGTACTGTGTAGGTGATACAGTTCCATTGATTAGAGCTGCAGCACTTGGAGAGGTGTTGGATTTAAGTGGTGATGAAAGAGAGGAAAATGGGTTTCTTGCTGGGCCCGTGGCATCTGAAGCAAAGGAACGCACAGAAGAAAGACCAGGGACTGTTTTTATGGGCGAGGAGGAAGATGTTGTGCCACTAGAGCCCCCCAAAACCATCTTGTATGGCAGGGGTGAACTGAACATATTCAAAGAAGATTTGGGAGATGTTGGTGGGGTCAGGTTGCTGCCAATGGATGTTCTCTCAAGAAGAGGGCTTCCTCCTCCAGAGACAGTTATAGGGGAGGTCCTAGCAGACAATGCTGTCAGTCCTTTCATGGATATAGGGTCTGGGTTGCCTTTGCCTTGTGAGGCCAGGGGACTGGGGGTGACCTGGATTGGGTACTGGGCTTGCTGGACTAGAGTTTTTATAGGAGAGGAGATGGTTCTGTAAGATCGGATGGGAGAGGCCATGTCACTAACTGACTTAACAGAAGAAGCAGGTGATCCAGGTATGTTGGTCTTGATGGGGGAGGCAGAGTTGATGGACCAGACAGACTTTAATGGAGAGGCAGAGGGCGTGTTGGATGACGAACTGGAGAGGGAGCCAAACCCAGATTTGGCTTGGCCAGGGCCGGCAACAGGAACAGGCGACCACGTCTGATAAGATCTCGTTGAAAAGACAGGTTTGTGAGGGTAGCTAGAAGGCTGTGTTCTCGGAGAGCTTCGATCAGTTGTTTCTTAAACAATAATTTAAACCAAAAGCAATAAGGAAATTAACATAAAATGTAACGTAAAATAATTCAAAATAAAACATAAAAACCAGAAAGAGAAATTTTTGTCAGTCAGAAACGGCATTACTCAGCAGTAAGACAAAATTTTACACATGAAATGTAAGAGAGGTCCCTATTTAAAAACTCAGGATGACATGACAAGTCTAAAATCAGTGACTCATGACAATATACACCAGATAAAGAATGGAGCATGTATAGGAGCAAAATGCTTGACATAGCAGTGACAAAAAAAGATATAAAGGAAAAAAAATTGATGCAGTTCCATTGACTTTTGATGTGCTTAATCTATTCGCCTCCTTGCAACAGTGCCTTTACTGAACATGCTAGACTGACGTTTATCTTTTCATTTGGTTGATTTTCAATGCAAGATGACTCCACAAGTGTATTATCAATAAAAAATATCATTTTACTTGTTCATGGCTTAAAATACAAGGTTGCACTTTACAAAACAACAGTAAAATCAGCCATTCATGCCATAAAGTCCCGTACACACTGTTATATTTGAATGGTCTCTGGTTTCCATTTCATCAACATTTCTCAAGTCATACGTATGGATATATTTCAAATTTTATAAAGTCATTGTTAATATCATTAAAAAAAAATTGTAATGGAGTAATAAAGCACAAACATAACGTAAGAATTTGCATGTCCTAACAATAAAAAAGCTGCATGAAAGCTGCCCAAAAATACACAGCAATTGCATGGAAAAGTGTCTCTGGCTTTGGAGGAAGTGTGCAAGCGTTACTTTTTTCACTGATGCATTGAAAACTATGCCAGTATTTTGTAAATGCAAAAATGTAATGCTTGCTCTATAGCGCAATCTCACTCTAGGAAAATGAAGTTAATGTAAAGTGCAACCTGTTACATTAATATACACAACTGCACACAATCATAAAGGCAATAAGAGTTAAATGGCCACTGAAAGAATGAGAACAATTCAAAAGAATATTTTTATTCAACATGAATTGGAATTTTTTTGTTCAAATGATAAATGAACAGACAGACATTGATTCCAAGTGTTTCCACAAATGCAAAGTAACATAACATTTGAAACAGACTTTTTGTCAACATGGGTTGGGAAAGCAAAGCAAAACACACAGTAAACCATGCAAATGTTTGACAGGTGACAGCTGAGTGAAGTGTGCGTCAGGTGATGAGAATAAATGACTGATGAACACGTTTTGTCAGGTAGATCTCTTTTTATACTAAGGGCATATGGAAAAATGTACACTGTATAAAGGGATGTTTAGGCACTACAATGGATTAAAATTACATAAATATCTAAAATCAATAAAATGTTCATGTAACAATGGGCAACTCACTCGCTGCTGGGTCGGTCAAATAGCTGTAGCGCTTACGCAAAGCTAAGGAGGCAAAGGTATGACGTCGTTCTGGCTTTTCATTCTGAAACAAACAAAAAAGAACAAAAGGTGCTTTAACATAAAAAATATGGTGAAATGTGGCTCTTAATCTATAAAAATTAAGTGTTAATAATTAGGTTAACTTGTCAATTTAGATACTGCAGTGCATGGAAACTCCTGTTTTTAGTTAGTCAGTACATGCTGTTAGTACTGGATCAAGAGGCACTGCAGGTGTAGAAAGTAATGGACTGTTTCACTGCATCTCTTCACTTGCTGCATTTCTCAATGTCACTGCAATGAAATAACTACTGCTCTTCTGTACAGTCTTCTCCAGGTAACTAGTTAAATGTCCTGTTATGATGAAGAAGACATCCCCAGATCAGCATCAAATGTGGTGAAGGTAAACCCCAAATACAACAAAACAGTGACTAAGTGGACAAATGAGTTAGGGTTTCACCTTTAGCTGAAAAAAGATACCATAATCCTGTGTGAAACCTCCTATGAGTTAATAGTAAGGAGGGAAACATGGTGATTTCCTGTTGAAAATGTATGAAACGGAAAACAGAGATGAAAAACAAGCCAAGGTGTGGTACCGCAGTTGGCACCACTGGTTTTGGGATGAAGACAAGAATAAACAAATCCTAGCCAATTAAAGCAATTAGCATTTACACTCATGCACTACATGTGGTCACTTCAGCAATGATGTAGCTGTGTTTAAAAAAAAGTGCAATTAGAAGCATTTATCAAAGGCCAATACTGTACAGAGACAAAATATCTGCGGCACACATATTCACTACAGAGGCTGCGGTAAAGCAAACAGAAAGGATGACAAAGAAGAAGCAGTTCCATGTGATGATGAAGAATCTGTTTACCTCATCATCAGGATCAGACTCCATATCCTGTGGTATTCCAAGATGCATTGCAGGAGAGTAGAGAGATGACAGAATGGAGAGCAGGGACGTTATAGTGAGCAGGGAGACAGAAATAAAATTCAGGGGATGAAAATGGAGAAGCAAAAACAACAAAAGGCATCAGAAAAAAATCTAAGGGATTAATAAACATAAACAGCAAAAAACAAAAGCAAATAATTACAGTTTATTGTGATCAATCAACACCACACCAAACAAACAAATGAGAAGTGTCATTTTTTTGGCATAATTGTAATGCACCCACAGTGAGCCAGCAACAGAACAAAGCACAGTGCACATGTGTGGCTGCTGTGTATGTTGTGGGGTCTTATGACTGGCACAGGCTTTAACACAAATAAAAGACAAGAGCAGCAGGCAGTCATTTCTAGAACAAACGAATGTCAATGGCTCCTCTTGATCTCAGGACAACACTACTTTCTGTTTTTCAGCTTTATTTACATGTAGATGATATGACATGCCCTAAAAGGACAAATGTTCAGACATGGTGATCCTACCTTCTTGTGGGTTGGCAGTGTGATATTCAAATTGCATATGGCAGTTTGTGAAAGTCCTTTAGTGGTTTTTGGCTCTCTCAGGAAGGAGAGGCGACCACATGGCTCCTGGCCCATATCTCTAATCTGTAGAAGACAGCACAAAGATTGCATCACGTTGAATTTCAAAAAAATGACTCTTCAAATTGAAAAAAAAAAAACATTTTTTTTTTTCAAAAAGTTTTCTTCGCTTTTTTGCAAGGTCATAGTTTTCCTTGCTAAACCTTTTACACACATATAGACTGTTAGCACAGTCTGCACACAATGGTGTTCTATGGATAATGAATGTCAGCTAATTAGGAGAGGATATTAATTTATAACATAATTTAATCAACAAAGTACATTTACATAGGGCACCAAGTGAATTAAATTAAATACACATACAGTAAGTAAGTGCAGTAAGTGCCAGCAGAGAGAAATGACAATATGCTATACCTTCATGTTGAAAGGAAGTCTGTTTTCCTTGAAGGAGTAGAAGTTAAAAACCAATTGCTGGCCACTCTTTGTGAGAGGGGACAGGTTGCCATAGCAATCCACATAGATAGGTTTGCCCTCGAGAACCTACAAAAGTCCATTGACCAAAAATGTAATTTCATGGCTAGAACGCATTCTGGAGAAGAAGTTGATGAAACTGATATTGCACTGCATTTCAAGAACATATAACATTTATTCACTTGTCAATTTGTTCTTTATTAAACTCTCTTATTGATGTACAGTTGTTGAAAGCTCACACAAACACACCTCTATATCCTTGCTCCGGGCCACTTCCTCAAAGTTCTCCTGCTGCTCGAGGGTCTTGTCCACCTTATCATCTGTCATGCAAAAGCAACGCAGTCGAGCTTCGACAGCATCATTCATCTTGGCAAATACCACAAACTTGGCCAAGTATGGCACGCAGATCAGCTCCCGGTATAACTGAGACGCTAGACTCACCGTCTCAGGAATCTGGTGACAGTCTGCGAGCCAGAACCTGTTAAGGAGAGATCACAAAGAGGGGAGGGAGGAAAAACACAAAAATGAAAATGACAATAGCTGGAAGGCAACCAGAGAAACAATCTGCCTAATATAAGGATGATTTACAACAACCTAAAGTTGGGAAATGCACAATGCACATTTAAGCCATTTTTGTGACAAACATTTCAAAAGGCTGCGACACTGTAGTGTCAATTGTTATTTCTCTGAAGGATAAACATGACACATAGAAGCCGTGTAGCAATGTAGTTATAACACCACCCTTGTACTGTGTTAATATCAGACTATCAGATATCAGATATCAACAGATTAATGTAACACTGTACCGCTTATCTAAATGTATATGAAAGTGTAACCCTGTTAAAATACATGGCCACAGAAAAAATGTCACTGTGTGTATATGCCCGTGTGTGTGTGTCTCACCTGGCCGACACATTTGTGGTGAAGGAGACGCAATCAGTAACAAAGGACAGTGGTGTAGTTCCTGTGATGTCCTCCCACTGAGCAGGGGATGTCCCTCCTGAATACAACAGGGGCCAAAAGATCACAATTCTTGTTATCTTCTCAGTTCTACATTTTCTCTCTATTGACCACTGGCTTTTGACACCATCAATTCATAGTGAGTCTGAGACACCAACTCTGTTTCAATAAATGGATGAACAACTATGTTCAGTATCAATAATGAATGAACATTTATTATAATAAGGATACAAAGACTGTCAAACTAAACTCACAGCTAATCCTCCAGTGACAATCTGGATAGAGGTCTTGCATCTACGTATCTTGCCCAGAAGTCTACTTGCCTGTGATGCTGCATAGCAGACGCAGGCAGGGTGTAGAGTCGCCTCGGTGGCCGCTGGGATGGCCTTCTGCCGATCTAGGTGGTACTGGGATCGTCATAGTGATTGGCTTGTGGAACTTCCTCCTCCTGGGCTCTACAGTAACAATGGGGCTAAAGGTGGCTCTGTTCCCAAGAACAGCCCTCACCATGTCATCTGGCACAGGCTGGGCCTAAACAGAAACAGTGGATGGCCAAAATAAATAAAACTGAGAAAAAAGATACAGATTCAGTGCTTGCTTACTGAATAAACTTCTAAGAAATGCTCTGTCAAACTTCCTAATAAAATAATTGGGCCAGGCATGTCAGGCAGACTCAAATATTCCACCAAAAATGGTCAGGTATAAACCAATAATATGTCCGTGGACAGTATTTACAATACAAAAAGCAGAGTGGTGAACTAAATTCTGAGCCAGTCCAAGCAGCACAGCTGTACCTGTAGGCCAACACGAATCCTCTTGGTGAGTGCCCCCTGTGGGAAAGAGGCCTGGACCATGGGTACAGTGCTGCTGGACAGCACACCTCCGTCAGGACCCATGTGGTTAGACTCCTGCTTAATCCGTGACACCACAGCAAAATACTGAGGAAAATCTCTGGTGACAATGCGGCAGATGCGCTTCTTCTCTAACTCAGCAGGGCTATCCAGCTCTGTGACAGAAAATATGACTTTTATAAATTTGATTTTAAGTCATTTAATGGTTGTTTTTTTTCTTAAAATCTGACTCTGAAATGCATTTATATATAAGGTACTAGTGGAGCATGACATTTTGGTCATTACCGCAAAGTGAACACCTTGAAAAAAAAAAAAAAAAGTAGTTTATTTCACTGTTATTCACTCAGTCATACTGTGGACTAACCCACTTTGCAGTCTCATTGGTTAAAGTTGGTTCATACTGGATAAGCTTTGCTTTACCTTCATCCATCTCAGTAAGCAGGTCAGCCAGGTCTTCTGGTCTGGCATCAGACTGGTGCTCCTTCCATGTGTCACCATTGTCACTCCTCAACACAATCAGTTCCCTCTCTTTTCCCCGCATGGAACCAAAATGAGGGATCTCCACAATCACAGGGCTGAAAGAGTACAACACAATAGGCAGAGCACCAGAAAGGTTTCTTTGGTTAAGCAATAATTGCTGTTTAACTAGCTACAATATGTAAGATATCCACAGAAAAAGCAAGTCCCAAAAATCCTACCCGAGGAACTGAGCCCCGGCCGGTCCGACCTCCACCAGCCGGCTGACGAGGCCCTCTCCTTCCACCATGGGTGGGGGATAGGCCAGCTTGTGCTTTTTGGCCAGACGACAAGTGATGCGTGTGGGCGCCGTGCACTTCCTGGGAGGAATGATGATGCGCATCCCATTGTGGCTCATGGAACCACCTCGAGCATCCACCATGAAACTAACCAAGAACCTAGAAGATGATAAAAAGCAATGTTAGAGGAGATAAAGACATCGACCGAAAGAAAGATTGACAGAAGCTATACCACGGACACAAGTGAGGAGGGCGGTTCCCATGCTGTGATCACCGTACACTCAACCAAAGTAAGGAAATTGAGAAAATAACAAAAGCAAGAGAGCAAAAAACCAAATGATAGAAAGAAGAAGAGAGATGCTTAGAGATCTGAGCATTGGCAGCTTTCTCCTTCACCTGCCTCAATTTCGAACATTTACTGTAACACTGTCTGAAACTAAACAAGGATACAGATTGTTTAGTTTCCAGTTTTGAGGCTGAAAGAAAGATCGGTGCCAGAGTTTCAGTTCCTCTAAAGAAGCATTCACTGATCAAATATTAAACACCTGCACAGATGTTTCACCAAGATAGGGTTAGTGGAATTAAAATGTAATGTGTCCCATTATTCAAATTAAGAGCACAGTTTGGCATCCTTTAATGTACTTGACAAATAAAGGTGAGGATAGAGTAGGGTACAGGCATAAAAAACAATGTTTATGCACAGTCCTTATTGCTCAAATATGGCTCTTTTTCACTATATTTGTTGTGTTATGTATTATATAGCTGCTTTTTTCTGACTATACTGTATGTTGAAAACAGCAGAATCCCTGTAAACTTTTGAGGGAGATTACTTATTAATGTGCACCATGAGACAGAGAAATGACACATCAGTGAAAGACTCCAAAACATGTTGACTACACACATCTAATATCTAGGCAGTGCAAATGAAGCACCAGACCACATGGATGAGATGTGCATGAACTAGAGGAGTATGGGAAGCTAAGTAAAGAAAAGAGCGATGAGGTGAGAGGAAGTCAGAGGTGAAGGAGCGGCATCATGAGTGAAAGCCATGAACTCAGTCACCTGGAGTCATACTGAGGGAGCGGGGAGGAGAAGCTGCAAAATAAACACATGGAGACAATGGAGGAGGCAAACCCCCAGAACCTAGTTTTAGTTTCATGTTTCATAACCACTGTTGGGATCTGTAATAACTACAGAGGATGAAAGAATGATTAAAAACTACAAGGGTGGAAAATCAAGGGAAAAAGAAATCATAAGACAATGAGGGCAAAACTAAAATGAAGAAAATAAAAACACAGACAAAGACAAAAGGTGTAATCATGACTCAAAAATAGAAAGAAAGGCTCAAAACTGGACACGACAGATCCCAGTAATTAATTTCTGAGCATAACACCAAAGAAAATATGCATGTGTTTTGTTCTTATTTAGAGCAGATCTTAATTTATATTGCCATATATTCAAAGTATGTGAATGGTACGAAAACACTCTTATCAGTTTATTCAAATGAAACACTGCAGCATGAGCTCACACAGAGCCAGCGCTTTGTTTCTGCGGTGATAGAAATAGAGCAGGTCAGTGACACATGGGAGGGGGGGGGTGCTTTTAGATTTCTGGCATGACATGGAAGCTTTAGAGGATGAACTGTGTGTTTTGTTGATGAAATGTGATGAGTAGTACAGTAGCACTGCAGAAATCCCACGGCCCTGCACCTTGTCTGCATCAGTGCTGCAGGGTTTACTGAATATCGACTGTCAGGAGGAGAACAAAGGACAACAATACGACAGTTTTATGAAATAAGTACTGTATATAAAATGTGTCAGTTTTGTGATAGTTGCGTGGATGCAATTTGTGTCTGCATACACACACTGAGCTTGTGCATGTACTATATCTATGTATACATATGCTGGTAAACATATACTGACTGATCTTACCCAGAGTGAATGGGGCTGGACACAGTGTTGTGGCTGTGGTCCATGGTGTCTGGAGTCCAGCTGTAGCGCCGCATACACTCCGAGCTGTAGTCTTTGGTCACAGCCAGGTGCTGGAGGAAGAGGATTCAAAGATACAGGTGAAGAGAGGAGGAGACAAGACAGAGAACAAAAAGATTTGAAAGCAGAGTATAGGATGATAGAGAGTGAGGTGAAAACAAAAATAGGAAATGAAGCAGCAGTGAAAAGGAAAAGGGTTGAGATGGAGGAGATGGGAAAGATGGGCATAAATCAGAGAAAAACAGAATGATGGGCACATTTGGAATAATAGTAAATGGGAGGAAGACTGCACAGTAAGAAGACAGTAGAGCTCATTATGAATCACTGCATGGACATAACGATTCACAATGATCCTCACTTTTTTCATAACCTTTGAGCCTTGCATAATATGGAGCAATAAGCTGATAAAATCTACAGCTTCTTGACTAATATTCCAACACGGGCCACGATTATCCACATTCTGACCACAATCATGACAAAAAGACAATAAATTTCACTGTAAATGTGGAAATACACAAAATGTGCTATAATCAAGATGCTTAAAAAACAGCATTTGGAAATCAGCTTTAAAACATCATGTATGGCACCACCAAATCATGAGAACTTGTATACACTGTAAGTAGCACGGGAATTGTCATGATTCGGTTCCGCTGTTTCCGGTCAGGCTTTTATTTTCACATCACTTCCTGTTTTGTTTCACCTCAGTTTTGGCCCTTTTATTTAATCATCATTAGTTCACCTGTTCCTTATTGTTTGCACCTGTTTTTCGTTTCCTTTTAGGCAGCGTCCTCCCACAGGACGCTGCCAGATTGTTCTAGACCCCAGCTCTGACTTTCCAGCATTCATATCTTGCCTGATTCTCCGTTTCTGACCTCCGATACTGTTTTGTTTGACTACCGTTTTTTGCCTGTGCCCTTCTAGTTCTGATTGCCTGCAGTATACCGACCTCTGAGCTATTTCCCTTGACTACCCGAATCTGGATCTCCTGGCTATTCCTGTCTACCGGCGCCGACCCTGGATTGTTTGATTGACCTGATTTAGCTTCTCGGACTTTGTATCGTTTACCTGGTTGTTCCTAGTAAAAAATCTTCTGTTATATCGTTCGTCTGGTCTTATAATTGAGTCCACCACACAACACCACACAATGGTTCATTAACTAAATACTGACCAACGCAAATGAATGAGATGAGAATGGCATAGACCCAAAACAAACAAATATACCCAGATCAAAACCACTGACTGAAAAAGAACAAAACTGATGAATGAGTCAGGCATTCATGAAGACTTTATTGTACCTTAGTGAGTGGGTCAACCAAGTAGGAAATGTCTTTACAGACACTCTGAAGCTTAAAGGAGAGAAGGGACAGTTCAGAGTCACACTAAGGACACTGTGTGTTCCAAATAAATCAATGTATGATGCTTAGCTTTGCTGAAGGATTCAGTTATCACCAAAGAAAACACGAGCTTATCTCTGTCAAGATGAGATGGTCCTATTATGTAGGTGTTTTAATTCAGACAACTCCACTACAGATTGTAATAATGGAGCAGATACAGTATAATGGCAAAGAAATGAGTCACAAAGGAGAGTCTCATGTATGTTTTTAGGAAGATATGAGTATTTTTAATAGGAATCTGTCTTGCAGATCATTATTATAAGCAGAAAATAGTTGCTTATTTTAATGATATGATTTAATGATCACTTTATTTGGCCAAGTATCTTATACACACAAGGAATTAGTCTCCGGTACAGAACCGAGGCAGCCATCCTCAGTGCCAACTCACACACACCCTGATGGTGTTGCTGTCCTTGCAGGGTGCTGCTCTGGCCATCGGGGGGAACTTAGGGTTCAGTGTCTTGCCCAAGGAGACTTTGAACTTTGGACTGCAGGCACTGTGAATCAAACCTCCAACCTTCCGGCCACAGCCACCCCCTCCAAAAAAAAAAAACCATCAGACACCACTGAGGGTTGAACCCTACAGCCCACGGACAGTAGGAAATGTATTTTGTAAAGTAAGAGAGTTGAGCTAAGTGTATGTTTTGGCCAAATCAGGGGTGATGTCATTGAAATTCTAGGGTAGATTACTAATACTGTTTATGACATAAGAGGTTAATGGTTTCTGTTTTGCTCCTGACCACCAAACCAAGCACTGGACAGGCAGAACAAGCTCTGCAGAGCACTGTGGTTTTCCATGAGAAAGCAAACAGGGGCCTCCCAAAGCCCTTAGGTTTGAATAAACTCTTCATCAAGGTGCTACACACTCCACCTTCAGCACTCAACTTCTGTTATCAGTAAAAACACTCTGACCCCTGCTTTACCCAGCCTGTGTTTTCACCAGGTCACTGACAGAAAGAACGAAAACAGAAACGGTGTAAAAGACAATAAGAGAGCCACCAGGGAATCTGATGAACAAGACACAATAAAACTTGAAAAACAGAGAGTTGTAAGGAAAAAGTGAACAGAGACAAAGAGAGAAAAAAAAAGTTGAATATAGAGGGTGAAAAAGAAATTGTAGTGAAAAGAAACAAAAGATAACGAGAACAACAAACCCATCTTACCGTATCCTTTGTGGGGGCCAGGACCTCTTCAATCATCATACTGTCTCGTGCGAACGAGCTCCGGTTGAGTGTGTGGGACCTATCCGAACTGAAGGAGCGGAGGCTACATGTTACCACGCAAGCCAGCGCCGCGGGCAACAACAATTCATGGGCAAGGGGAAACAACATAAAGCAAAAAGCAAGGAATCCATTACTATATGCAACCTCCAGGGAGCCAGGTTTCTACTTATTGGACAAGGGAATCCAATAGTAACAAGTGGAAAATAGACAGAGATGGAAGAGGACTAGGATAAGATACTACAGTAGGTTATGGAAATGAGAGTGAGGTCAGTGTGTTTGCATTAAGAGATAGAGCGAAAGAGGAAGAGGAGAAGACAGACGGCCATTGTCATCATTCCTATATGAAGGTGTGGTTAGTGTACATCATGAACACTAATTGTGTAATTTTGTATGTTTGTGCAATATACAGGGTTTTTGCAAAACGACACACCCCCAGTGGCAAAGCCAACAACCCTGCGCCTTATTTCCTCAGCATGTATACTGTACGTGTGCACTGATGTTCTATGTGTGAGAGTGCAGAGGTGGGAGAGTGGGTGAGTGAGGGGGAGGAAATGCAGAGCTCAGTGTGTTTGAACGAGCACACTATTCAGCAAAGAGAGAAGCCCTTTATTCAGCACAGCCTGACTACCCTACCATCAAAGTTACCAAGCAACAACACTGTATGGCCTGAACTAACTCGCTGGCATGACACTGTGGCACAATCCCCCGACCCTCCACCTCCTCCACACTCCATTATTTGCAGTTGCCTCCTCATTCTTATTGTCCATCTTCCTCTCCTCCCTAAACATCTGTGATTTTTGCCCATTCTCTTGGTTGATGCTGTCACAACATCTCTTCTCCTCTACTCGCTTTATTGAACAGTTTCTAGTCATTCAGTGGTAGTCTCATTTAACTTTTTTCTGCCTTGCTGCTTTCCTCTTCTGTCGCCTTCCTTCCTCTTCCCATACCACTCATTCCTCAGTCCGCCTTGCTGTCAACTACACTTTCACAATTTGTTTTTCCTGTCTATGGTACTGTCCAATGGTCCTCTGTTTTAAGGAATGCATCTGTGCGCACTCTAGGAAACAATTGTTCCAGTTATTGTGCATCCATGTGATTGTGTGTGCATAAATGGATCTGTGTATGTGTGACCTATTCTCAATGCATATGGGGGATTTCTAAATGCTGGACCAAAATTCTAGAGCAATCTCAAGCCACAAAGTTTCCATCTCTGCAAACCATGATTTAACATACAGAATCATCCTGATTAATGCTGGGATATCTCCAATTACTAATATGTAATAGGTTGAACTTAAGGGCTGGAATAAACTGATGGTTTTTATCCCTGGAAGTTACACTTGGTGGCACAACAAAAATACAGATGAAGTGCCACATAAGAACAAGCTACATCCAAAAGTTAGGGGATTAGTCTGCACAACAAAACTGAAGATAACTTTGTACCAAACACAAGTATTTTCTCATTTCCAGCAAGACAGCCTCTTTCCACACCTACAGCAGGATTTTTTTTTTGTTGTTAAGAAAAAAATAAGCTGCAATATAATAAGTTAAAACAGGGTGATGATCTCAACATACAACACGTGACAGCAACAGTGTGACAAGTATGCTACCACAAACAGAGAAACAGCAACACTGGATGACGCCAATGCACAGTGGGTGACGTGTGGTTTGGGTTAGAGGGTTTATGGGGTTCTTGTTAAACAGTAGTTCAGGGATCACAGTGGAAGGACACCATTCACAGCTAATGTTGCCTATTACTACTACAGACACTACTTTTTTCTTACCTGATTCTAGGGCTAGAATGAGCGACAGTGTGCAGGAAAACAAGGAAAAGAACAAAACAGAAGAGTGAAAAGCAAAGCACTTTGTAGACATTCAAGCATGATGTGGTTTTCTTTTTTTCCATATGACATTGATGCTATGCTTTTGCATGGTTGCACGCTACGGGTGGACACAAATTTCTTGGTTAGCATGGGTGTGTGTTTGTTCATATGCAGCCCAGTCAAAGAAGCAAAACATGCAATGTCGATGTCATAAACAGAAAGGTAAGGGAAAGAACAAAACTTGTTCGGCATCAAATATTCAATAATAATAAAATAGTTTCGATTATTTCACAGCATTACATTCACACACCTGCAAAAAGACATGTCAGCACTTTTAAAATCCATTTGAGCTGTTCTGTTGCTGCATTTATATTAACACATAAATGGCTGTTACAAAACAATAACTCTGACTTTACCTACAGCAGACTTTTTTAAGCATAAACAGTAAATCAAAGACAGTAACACTACTCCTTAATGTGCATTTTAATTAGACTAAAGAAAATAAAGGCCTGAAAATAATTCAAAATCCAATATCCTGAATGTGGTCACCAACCTCTTCCATTTTCTTATAACTGCAATATTTTAAAATGTAACAATTAACATAACATTTGTGAACGGTGCCAAAAGTCTTTCCAGTATCAACTCACAAGCTTGTTTCCGTAGAATCTCTCCATTTATTTCAGTATTTTCCTTGTTTTGAGGTGGCCTGCTGATGTAAGCACTTCCTGTCACAGTCAGTGATGTTGTTTTTATCAATCCAAACATCACAATGCATCTGCTGTCTGTCAGTGGGGCTACAATACGCTCTGGGGCTAAACAACACTTGCCCTGTGTGACGCTTATGTGTTTTCACTGGTGCCTGCCAGTTTTCCACCACACACTTTGTCCATTATTTGAACCTGTCATTAGGCCTGTGTATCCTCAAGTGCAACTGTTCACTGAGAGGATCCAAGTCCAGAGACACTGCTTATATCTCTACGGGACATTTGTAATATTTGCCTGGGTTTAAAGGAGGCCACACAAAACGCTGAATCATTTTGTCAGGTTGAATAATTAGATGGCAATTGTCCAGCTGCTTTGTCCAGCTGCTTTATCTGGTGATTTGTATTATTCTGTGTGCATGACTGTTGGAGGGACTACATTATCCTGCATACTCCATTTTAGTAGTAGTTCACAGCACAACACCAGTCATGATTTTAATACTGTATGTAATTTAAAAAGAAAAAAAGACAAGTGCTTACCTGGCTGAACGGGCTCCTATGCTGAATCCCATGTACCCCTCCTGAGGCAGAGAGTCATCTCCCAGCTCTTTTAGATCCTGAGGCCGCAGGTATTTGTCTGTATCCCCGGTCATCGCATCATCTCCTGGTGGAAGGATGAAATCATAAAATCCTCCTGTTAACTTCAAATCCTAATGGCACAAAGGCGATGCGACACCAGGAAAATAAAACAAGCCCTCACTACCGAAATCAGTCTCACTTATTTGATTATGGTACTTAGAGGAGGCCTTGAATAATTTATCAGCACCACTGTCGTTAAACCCAGCATACCTCATTGAAACTGCGCAGCGCACTGCAACTTTTCTTTTTGTCTATTTATTTTGCTGTTACACAACAACCACAACAACAACATGAATTCAACTGGAACGCAGAGCAGCGCCGGCGCGCAGCTGTTCTGCGGTCAGACAGTAACAGTTTCGGAGAAAATGCCATCAGAAGCAGCAGAAAAGCCACTTTGCGGTATATCTGGAGCTCTCCGGCAAAGCCAAGCGCAGCTCCTTTCCCAGCACCCAGACACAGAGCGGAGCAAGGGGTTAAACAGCTACCAAAGCCTGCGCGCAATAAGCAGAAAGTGCAGATCCGCAGCGCACCTCGATCGGCGGACCGGTGGACGATGACACGCCGGTCAATGAAGCCGGCAGAGCGGCGACAGTGTTTCTCCTTCTCCCTCATGTCCAGTTCTGTCCTGCCTGCAACACTCTCCTCCTTCACCGCAGCCCCTCCCCCTACCTCCAAGACTGCCGCACTCCGATCACACAGCAGCACGTTAGATGGCAATATGAGTAGGCATGTCCGGTGTTTTATTTCAAAATAAAACCTGCGAGGAGATGGTTTTTGTTCCTTAAACTCAAAGAAAATAGGCTACTGACTGGCCACTACCTGAACCCCCCCTCGGCCAAAAGCAATCTGGTTATCTACACAGTTCACATACCGAAGAACTTACTGAGACCCTTTGTACTTAAGTAAAAGAAATAGGCCTACCACGGTGCACAAGTAAAAGTCTTGGAATCAAAAGTATTAACACAAAATATACTTATACCAAAAGAACTCACAATGCAGAATGTCACCTTTCCCATTATTAGATCATCACCACTGATGCATTTCTGTGCGCGTCACTTTAATGTACGGCTGGTAAAGATGGAGTTAGTTTTTCTCAGTTACAAGTGGATGTCAGAGCACAATATTGAATCTGATGCCTTCCTCTCACCCTTATTATAAAACAAAATAATTTACCACTTTTGCCATCAATGTTCAAAGCTTTAGTTATTCACCCAAGAAAAATAAAACGTTATTATAAACTCAAGATCTGTTGCACAGCTGTATTTTTTGAGATGCATGGTGTGTTTTTATTCTGATGCCACATTTCACAACGTCCTCTGTTTTGTAACCGGTTTCTTTCTAACTTGACAAGTGGAAAACAATCGGCTCCCCGCTGCTGTAGTAATATATCACCGTCCTGTTCAGGCTCAAATCCTATCATGAACCACACGCATAAACACACACCTGTTGAACCTGAAGCATCGTCTGGGTCACAAGGCCATCTAACACACACACGCTCTCTCTCTCTCTCCCTCTCACTCTTTGTGTCCCTTTCTATCGCTCACACAATAAAAAAACGAAAACGACTAAAAACCTAAATGTCCAGAAAAATCTAAATGCTTTGGGGACTGCCATGCATCTTCTCTCTCTCTCTCTCACACACGCTCTCTCTCTCTCTCCCTCTCACTCTTTGTGTCCCTTTCTATCGCTCACACAATAAAAAAACGAAAACGACTAAAAACCTAAATGTCCAGAAAAATCAAAAGGCTTTGGGGACTGCCATGCATCTTTACTATTCACTGGTAGACAACTAAAACCATTAAATGAAGACTGAAAGCATTTTACATCGGCTGTCACATCATGCCACTGTCTTACTTTTCAGTCTTGGTCCATTTATACATCGCAGCAAACCTCTTGACGCAGAAACTTCCTTTGGTGCTTTAGCAACTTACCTTTGTCTAACGCAGCCATATTTATTCCTGAGTATATGTCTAAAACAATGTTTCCAGGAGGAAAAGTAAATCCAAAGCGAAGTGAAGAATACCAAATAGTCCACCAAGTGCTTCTTGTGCTAATGGAAAATGTTGACCTCTCATCACCCCACGCACTTAACTCCACCGAGACCAACTTGCAAGTTTGCTGCTGGTGCGCACTTCTCTGATGCCTTCTCTCCGCAAAGAAATAAAACTCGTACTCTTCAAAATGTTTACGTCTCCTCGCAAAACAGGCCACATTGCTGAGCAGAAACAGTAAAAGTCCGAGCCCCCAAACATCGACGACCACAAAGGGGTTAATTCTCCTGCAGCCGGATCAAAAACAACTCATCTCATTGGGTTTGAAGAGAGTCTCGGTGCGCTCCTGGCTCAACAGCATCCATAACACACTCAGCTGTAGAGCTTCAGCAGTGGCCGCGCTTGTGTTTACTGCTCTGTGGAGAGTCACAGTCAGCTGACAGTGTAGTCTGAGGAAACGTAGGTGTAGGAGACAGCAACGAGGAGGATAAGAAAACACCCATCCTGCTTTTTCTTCCACCACGCATTTAGGGAGTCTGACTGCATGTCAAACTGGGAGCTAAAGTAATGAGAAAATAGTCATATCACGCATGGGTTTGATCGATTTTAAAATTCTTGAGCAACTCTTCTAGTTCCTCCTTCCACATAGGGTACACAATGACTAAGACTTGCACAAGGATAAGTACATTTAGTTTAATTATGCAAGAGATTTTTGACAGTTAAAGACCCAGAATGTAACACCAGCTGCAGCAATACTGTCCTCTCAGGCCAGTGCTGAGGGAATTATGGAGATACTTTACAATGTGATGACAGCAGAGCTTCTACATAAAGACTGTACAGCTAGTGGCTATAGTAGTCTGGAGAAAGCATGAAAGGAGGATGTGAATATATAGAGAGACCATAAACACACAACAGCCAGAGACCAGGAGTGACCTGTCACACTCACTCTAACCCTATGGATTGACAGGATTAGCTTCCTCTACATGAGATTAAAGGGAGATGTGGAAACTCTTTACTCCTTTCTTCACACCCACAGCAAAAACAAAACATCCTACAAAGATGAAGACGTGCAGACCCGAAGATGAAGCCAATCTAGTGTTTGGGGAAAATGAATATTCAAGGCTGCACTGCACAAGTATGGTGCAGATGAATTATGCACATTCAGTGTGCATTCAGTATAATCTGTTTGTTTGCTACATGAGTCCTTCTATTTGTAGGCATCAAACAAGCCACTGGACTTGCAAAGACACAGGAATAAAGTTATATAAAATGGACCATATGAGGTTTGGCAGTGGAGATTTCACTCTATAAATATAGAATATTCTAATTTGGAATAAAGTCTGTGCTGCATAACTATCAATGTGCTCATGACCCTTTGCAGATACTTTTACTTCTTTTCTGCCTACAAATACACACTGAATTATCATGCAGCTAAAGTACAGCCTCATTCTCTATCACCTGATATCTGTGTGTACGTAACTTGTTGAGTCTAAGTGTATCACTTGACATAGGAACTCCACACGCCACGGCTGTTCCCTAAGCAACAGTCCATGAACAAACTCATCAATTTTACAGGCCTGCTGGCTCTGTGCTTCCAAAACAAACGAGAGGACCAACATGAGCAAGCATGAAGCAATGAGCCTTGGACTATAAACTTGTGAGTGCTATGTGGCTCTGCAGTGCTACAGCTGCTATTCTACTGCTAATTGTGATATTACTCATGTTATACAATTTGCTAAGGGTTTATGTACAGTACGATAAGATTACTTCCTTGAATGTATGCATGCATGTTTCTCCAGAGTCTGTGATCAGAATTATAAAGTGTATCACATTGGCCTTGTTTTCGTTTCTTACAGCAACTCCTTTAAAAAATTACAGGGTAGAAGTGAGGATGACAGAAAGTGTATTTGATTAGAAGCAGCATGAGGTGTATGGTTTAAGCAGTTAAAAATAACAAATGTGTTTTGAAGTAACGATGAAAATAACATTAGCAGAGTCAGTCTGTGAAGAGAAACAGAACACTTAAACCTGCCAGAAAATCCAGATCAGATTCAATGTTAAAACTTTAAGGTTTGCTGAATTTCTTGGACAAAATGAAATGGAACCAGATGAGACTTTATTCTGCCTGATGAGAGCAGGTTAAGATTTACACTGAATAAAACAAAAGCAAACCTCACACAAATACATTAAACACTGTCTGACCTTTCTATCAGTTCTTGAAATGAGAATAATTTGATTCACAGGACATTAAACTGCATGATAACTGCATTCATAACTACAGCAATCTGTGTGTATTGTAGCCATACTGTATCCCAGTAAGTTTGCCCACTGATTTACCCCTGAAATCCCACAGCAAAGTGACAAATAGTAGTATAGCAAAGGTTTGATGCTTAGCTCTTCAACCAGGCAGGTGAGTTCTGCTGAAGCGCGTTATATTAATGGAAAACAAACAAACAACACCCCAGTGAAGACAGACTGATGACAAATACCTTCATCAACATCTGAAAAAGACTCCTCTTGGAGAATTTCTGGAACATTGGCCTGGACTGTGTGAGTTGGATATACATACATTGCACCACGCGGAGCGGCAGCAAGTTACAGCAGCTGTGTCCTCATTGTGTTCTTTTCCATGTTTTTATGAAGTCCTGTTTGTATGTGTCTGTTCTTATGGTGTTATGTTGGTTGTTCTCTATTGCTGCTGTAACACAGTAATTTCCCCACTGTGGGATCAATAGAGTACCTACTCTACTCGATACAGTGAGACATGCACATGTTAATGACAATGACATCACAAATCACAAGTCTGTGAAAATCTTGCAATGTACTGATGTTCAAGTCAAACAAGTATAAATGAATCTAATTTTAGTACTCAATGGATGAAAATGAACAGAATCAAGTTTTAGCATTTTTCACATACCTTCGTCGTCGGACATGTCGAGGAACTCATTCATGGTCTCTGGGACGTTGATCTTGTGTTTTTCGGATGCAGTCTGCAAGCAGATGGGCAATTGAACAACTCAGAACAATAGTATAAAATATGCTCTGGATAAATCCCTGAAACTTTAAACCAGTTCCAAATAGAAATCTCTGAATTACAATAAATGAATACATGTATAAATTCTATAACAGCACAACAGCAGAGACCTCTGCACAGCCAATAGTCAAGAATACAAAGCACTAGGGAAATGAAGTGATCTTTAAGTTACATCACTGCAGACAGAGACAGTACTGACACTTTGCTGCTGATAGTACAGGAAGCTTAATGACCTCTCTGTCCCCCCTTACCTTCCTGTCAGCTCTTCATCATCTTACCGCCACTCTTTCTTTCCACTTTCTCACTCTTCTCCCTCCTTCAGTTCAGTACAATTCAATTTAATTTTATTTGTATAGCGCCAAATCACAACACAGGACACTTTACAAAGTAAGGTCTTGGCCTTACTATTAATATTATTATAGAGGAAAAACCCAGCAAATCCCCCTTGAGCAAGCACTTGGCATCAGTTGGGAGGAAAAACGTCCTTTAACGGAAGAAACCTTTGACAGACCGCAGCTCTTGGTGAGCGGATAGAGGAGAGAGAAAAGAAGAAAAACAAGACACAACCAGACACATACAGTATGTGTATCAGATCAATGGTAGTGACCTGGGCTACTTGAGGAGAAACCCTAAACTGACTCCACAAAACACAAACAGTGACGACAAGTTCACTGAGAACTTTTCTCAAGCTAGTTTTAAATAAATTTTTATCATTTTGTTAAGAAATTTTAAATATAAATCAGTGGCTTCTTGGAAAGTAAGAAATCAATTTTAAAACAAGTAAAAGATGCCAATGATGTATTAAATGACTAAAACATGCAAAACAATTGCATTGCACTGAATATTTAAACTGACAATGATGGAGTTGCACTTTTAAAATGTTTTTACACTGTGTCATATTTTCTGGGAAGTAAAAAAAGATAAAATCAGTGATTAGCATGCTAACTTCATCAAGTCTTATTCATTCATTATACTGGCCTGTTTCTGGTGTCCAAGGTACAAAACATATTGACAAGAATGAAATTAGTTTGGAATGTACTGTTGATGGAATAAGGCCTGCAAGCATGTCATCCTAAGAGATGCTCCTGAGAAGAAGGCGGTGTCTCACCGTAGCGGTCAGGTTTTCATCCGTTATCGGCCTCAGTGTGTCCACCACAGAGATGTATCCAAGACGATGGGCGATGGATAGGGCAGTGTTCCCATTCTGACCAGTGACAGACCAACAGGAAGTTATTCACAGTAGGCGCACAGAAAACACAAAAAGCATTCAGAGCGTCAGTTCTGTTGGTGAGTGTGTGTGTTTGTGCGCTGACCACGGTGAGCTCGTTGGCAGAGGCCCCGTGCTGAAGCAGCAGGTTGATGATGTGGGTGTGGCCCTGCTGAGCTGCTTGGTGTAGAGCAGTGTATCCGT